ATACGTATTATTTGATGTATTGCATAGCAATTTACTTTAAAAAAAAAAAAAAAAAAGAAATAAAAATTTGATGCAAGTAAATTTACATAACAAATTTATTGACATTTTGTTGAAAATATTACACGTTACATTACACTTTGAATACGATATATTTCCTGCACATGTTAAATTGAATATTTAAGCTTGTTTTCAATCGCATAAAAATTCGTTATCCAATAATAATCCGTTAAGAGAGAAGAAAAATATGCAAATCGTACATGAATTTAAAACATTTTATTCTTTCCTTTAGCTTCTAGAATTTTTTCCTCTAAAGTAATTTTTATTCGAAAAAAAAAAAAAAAAGAGATGAATTTTTCCTGAAATCTTATGAAAATATATTTCTTTCTTTATTTCAATTTCTTAATTTTCGTTTGTGCGTTTCCAACAGGGAGAGGAGAGCCAATACGACGAGGATGGGGTGTTCGAGTGTCTTCCTTGTGCCGAGGGTTGCGAATCCTGCGAGGACGATTCCCCGTGCGTGGTATCCTTGAATTGGCTGATGAGAACCGCGATTCTCATCCTGGAGTGCTGTGTCATCGCCTGTTTGCCGGCGGTCGCCCTTTTCACTTGGAAATATGGAAACGTGAAGGCAAGTGGACGGCGGCAACAATTTTTACAGATGATTCTTTTTTTTCACAATGGAGATATAATTTAATTTTGAACGAGTTGATAGTTCGTATTTTCGAATTTTCTTCTTCTTCTTCTTTTTTTTTTTTTTTATCATAGAATGATTTTAAAGCTTGGTCAATTGAGGAGAGAGAAGAAAATTGGAAGAAAAATGGTGTAGTCGCTTCGAAAAGAAATTCCATTAGCAGAATTTTTTTCGTAACGTAGGACAGGTTCTTAGTTTTTATCGATTAAAGGTGGTTCGATGAAAAATGATGGCGAATAAGTTCGAGAGAATCATCGTGGATAAATTTATTTCCATTGATTAAGCGTTTACAAGGATCTGAAAATTTGTTTAAGCATAAATTATATATATATAAATTTTTTTAAGCAAAATATAATGAAATTTTATGTGTTACAATTTGTCCTCTCTTTATCTTCTCGATAAACTGTTCGTTGAAAATAATCAAATCTTCCATATCTTCCATATCTTTCTAACCTGACCATCTTAATCTAAAAACTCTAGATCTATTTTTCGAGTCGACAATTTTCAATCCAAATTTAAAATAATCAAAAAACTCGATGCCATCCGCGTTTCAGTCGATTCTTCCCGTTGGAAAAGTTGTTGGTATTCTCGAAAAAATTCTATCGAGGAGACTTGGCCATCGTGAAAGGCGGCGGCCGTCTTTAATCCGATCTAACGAACTGCACCGTTCAGCGGAGCAGTTTAAAAACTCTTGACGAAAGAATCAGGGGTGAAAGTTGATCCATCGTTGGAAATTAATTAACTCGAGGCCGAGCTGCCTTTTCAAACCTGATTATTTTGTCGTTGGTGATCCGATCCGACCGCTATTCCGCTTCCAAATGCAAATTACTTCTCTCTGAATTGCAAAATTGTGGTGCAATTTTCCATATAAACCGAGATTGTCCCCTGTCCTGTGCAGTCTTTGTAATGTCACGAGTAAAATTATGCAATTGTTCAAATAACAAAAGTGTATTTACAAGAGTTGCAACGCTTTCCAATTCGTTTCGAATCATTTAAATGTATCTTCTGATAAAGGAAAATTGCTTTAAACGTTTAAACGTTTATTGTTGCAATTTGAAATTTAAGCTCTGCAATGATCTGATTTTGCAATTAAATAAATAGTAAAGATATGTTTAAAGATTAAGAGTTGCTTTCCAATCATTTGAAATCACTGAAATATATTTTTTTAATAAAAGAAAATTGCTTTAAACGTTTAAACTTTATTGCAATTTGAAATTTTGCAATGATTTGATTTTTCAATTAAATAAATAATAAAAATATGTTTAAAGATTAAGAGTTGCTTTCCAATCATTTGAAATCACTGAAATATATTTTTTTAATAAAAGAAAATTGCTTTAAACGTTTAAACTTTATTGCAATTTGAAATTTTGCAATGATTTGATTTTTCAATTAAATAAATAATAAAAATATGTTTAAAGATTAAGAGTTGCTTTCCAATCATTTGAAATCACTGAAATATATTTTTTTAATAAAAGAAAATTGCTTTAAATGTTTAAACTTTATTGTTGCAATTTGAAATTTTGCAATGATTTGATTTTGCAATTAATCAAATAATAAAAATATATTTAAAGATTAAGAGTTGTTTTCCAATCATTTGAAATCACTGAAATATATTTCTTTAATAAAAGAAAATTGCTTTAAACGTTTAAACTTTATTGTTAATATTTAAACTTTGCAATAATCTGACTTGAATGATGCAATTGTTCAAATGATAAAAATATATTCAGAGATTAAAAGTTGCAACGCTTTCCAATCATTTGAAATCATTGAAATATATTTTTTAATAATTGCTTTAAACTTTACTGTTACAATTTAATATTCAAGCTTTCCAATAAAATCTGATTTGAATGATGAAACAATGAAACAATAATTTGTATTGATATATTTATTTAATTCAAAATCATAATATTTGTGAATTACCATATGTATTATTTTCATATTACAAGAAGAAAAAAGAAAGGAATCCATTAAACACTTAGTATCTTATAATAAGATGATAATGAATATCAAATAATAGAATGTATTTCCAAAAAAGATTAAATTACTTTCAAGATAATCACACTTCACTTCAAATTTAATTTTAACATTGATTAAAACAATCATCCTTTCCATAATTTTCCACAAGAGAAGATAAGTCTATGTCAAAAAATAAAAACCATTGACCGTTTCTTTTCTTAGCTTGATCTTTTGAATTATTTCTCCACTCCAATTCTATCTGTCTCACCCAATTTAACCATTCTATCAATTCTACTCTTCAATCCTCGATTATTTCCAATATCAAATCGTACAGAAAAGACAAACTCCATCGAGTTTATTATATACATATCACACGATCCGACATGATCAATCTGGACCAAGATTTTCATTTTCTTCGATTATTATTTGTACTTTTCTACACTTTTAATCACATAGCTAACTGTCGACGCGGAATAGGCAGGATCCGAGTGAGAGAAGTGAAGAGAGGAGGAAAAAAAAAAAAAAGATAGAAAAAAAACCAAGGTCGATTCTTCCATGGGGATAATGGGGTAGGATTCGAGCGGATCAAGAGAACAATCGGAGCCCCGAAAACGTTGAACTTCAACCGGTCGAAACTGTATTCCATTTCTGCCCGATAATGGAAACTCTTCTGCTAACGAATCCTGTCCTGTCCAATCATCCACCGTGATTAAAGGGAGAAAAAGCTTCGAAACGATGAATAACAGGCTGGTGTTTTCCCTTCCTCCCCCAACAGGTGAATTCTGTTGGTCCACTTTCGCCTCCTCCTCTTCTTCTTCCTCCTGCTCCTCCTTTTGATAATCGCTCGTTTCGAATTCGCATTTTTGGAAGATAATCACGTCAATTGGAAACAGGCACGTTGTCCAATGTTCCTCTCCAGGAAATTAAAATCTAGAGCCAATTTTGAGTCTATAGAGAATTTAGAGATCTTTCCAGGTTTTTTATCTTTATTGATTTTATTTCTGATTTTGAGATTATTTTTTTTTCAGGGAAAGTGGAGGAAAGGTGAAAATTTCTGAGAAAATTTTAGAGGAGTGGTTATAACGTTGTGTTTTGGACCATATGTGTGAAAGAATTTGACAAGTTGAATTAAGAGAGTGAGAGAATGGCACGTAAGATGTTTGGGGAAATTATATTTGCAAAAGAAGGATGTAAAGATAAATGGATCGATTGGATCTTTATTCTTGATTTTGAGATTATTTTTTTGTCAGGAGAAAGTGGAGGAAAGGTGTAAGAAATCTGAGAAAATTTTAAGGGAGTAGTTATAATATTGTGTTTTGTCACCATTTGTGTGTAAAGAGGAAGTTTTAATGCAATGGGTATATGAAAAAATGATGGAGTATTTAAGATAAAAAAATATTCGTGAAGAAATTTGACAAATTAAACGTAAGGAAATGACACATAAAATATTTGAGAAAATTATATTTGCAAAAGATAAATGGATCGATTGGATCTTTACTCTTGATTTTGAGATTATTTTTTTTCAGGGAAAAGTGAAGGAAAGAGCTAAAGAATCTGAGAAAATTTTAGTTAAAGAATGATATAATATTGTATTTTGTATGAAAAAAGTGAGAGTATAAATATGAGAGTAAAATATGATGAAAAAGTTGCAAGGAAAAAATGATGAGATATTTAAAAAAGATGTAGATCTAGCTTTTTCATCTCTACTCTACTGATTTTGAGATAATTTTTTTCAGGGAAAAGTGGAGGAAAAATTTAAAAAATCTAAGAAAATTTTAGAGAATAGTTAGAGAATGATATAA